GGGAAACCGAGTTGATACAGGAGATGGAGATTTTTAAACGGATTGGTTTATTGGTGTTAAAATACACCAGTTATGCTATTTTGGACCACCAGCATGCTGATGTCATGCAGCCTGTCGTTTTTGTGTTTATACTGTTTCATAACGACAACGACTAGTTCGATGTCGGACAACAATAGAATGTTCATGATGTCACTGCGACAACTGTATACCGACATGTCAATAGACGTTGTATAAACCAGCTTTAGTCTTAATCTTTGGTTGTTTAGTACACAACCGTACTCACTCTGTTTAGCCTCACATGTGAATCCTTAAAGAGATGGGTGGGGCTAAGGCTTAAGAGGGTGTGAACAATGCTGAATGGGTGTAGACAAAGAAGAGCTCTCCAGTATGTGTACTAAAACATTCAAGGGCCATTTTCTCAAAAGTGAGGTTATAAGTTTATCAACTTTCAAAGCAGAATTACTTTCCCATTGTTCCTCAACTGTAGTGTATGATATACCATTTTCTAGCTCTGAGTATCTACTTTTATCCAATGTAATAAAACACAATTTCAAATTTTGCTACATAAGACCGAATCGAGCCTGTCGGTCACAAATGGTCCCACCCATTACAAGTCAAAATGTGATTGGTTGATTCCACCGTCACTCCAACATTCTGCTCTAATACTCTTGAATGGCAGATGCCTTCTATTTGGGTTCTGAGGGCCTAGTCAATGGTAAGCTATCTAGCCATATTTATCTGCTCAGAGACCACGAAAGAAAAATCCTGATTGGATCTTCTCCTCAGTTTGAACCCTTTCCTTTCAAACACAAACTGAAGAGATCAGAAAATCATTGAAATATTATTGAAAATATTACATAGACATTAAAACAATATTTATAAATCCTTGGGCCTTCTCTAAAGGCATAGAAGTCCTTGACTGTTCCCTACTGCCTAAAGGGGAGTGGGTTGTTAAAACAATAATATCTATCCTCTGAAAAGGAAGGCCAGGCTTTTGCTAAACTTCATTCTTCATCGAACAAGTGAAATTCTGACCTTTGCTGCATTACATTTGAAAACATAGATCATAGAAGATAAACACAATAGTGTCAGCCCAACAGGACGCTCAGCTGTGTCCAACCGGTCTCTTGTAATCTGGGTTAGGTCAAGCTACCACAGGGGCACTTAGCCTAACTTCAGCACATCCTCGCTGCTCACTGTGGAAACCCTGAAAACTGCTGAAATGCTAAATGAGATACCGCAGAATGTATCTCAGAAACTAAATAACCTAATTTGCGAAGTGTTGTTCTACAGAGGTAGACTGTTCCACTCAAGACACAGGTTTTGAAGAATCTTTTTCTTTTTTACTCAGCCACTTTTAGCCATAGCCTTCATCAGGGTGCAATGATACAATTCATTTTTTTATTAAAACTCACAGACACTTTGAGGCATTCATATCTTGTATTTTAATGTATATATAACAGTTACTATATTTGTGTAAGATATTGTCTTTTCTTTAGTTGTAGTTCATGTACGAGCTGGGACTGAGCCCTCAGCCATACAACAGGAGAGTGGTCTCATGTCAGCCAATGTTGTGGACACAGCAACTTTTCAGCGCTTCTATGAAGGCGACGTGGCCATGCATTTCTCCTGGTACAAGCAACCCTTGGGAGAAAAACCTCAGCTCATCTCAACCATCTGTAAGTATGACAAGGCTCCTACATATTACCATGAGTTCAAGGGTAACCCTCGATTTTCAGTGCAAAGCGGCCAAGGAATAAATCACCTCAGTATCTCAGACATGAAAAGCTCAGATTCAGCCACGTACTACTGTGGGAGCGCTCACTCAAATGTGTTGGAATTTGGACAATCCTCAATGTAAAAGGTACAGTACTGAGAAAAATGTTTTAATATTACTTAAATATTTTCAGAGACAGTCTGAATTTGTAGATAAAGAGTAGTGATGAGTTAGCCTAAGAATAAACATTTTAGGATTTTTACAATGTTACTTTTTGGAAAAGGGTCTTAATGTCAGGTATTCTCACATTCAGATGATTCTCTCATTGAGTAAGAACACTTGCTACGGGGAAGTTGCAGATAGTTAACACAGATTTAATGACATATTTAAACCCTCTTTTCAGATTCAGGCTGCAACAGCAAGACAGTTGTAGAGCAGTCTGTGTCTGATTCAGTCCAGCCAGGAGACTCTGTGACTCTGAACTGTACAATACACACTGAGACCTGTGCAGGAGAACACAGTGTCTATTGGTTCAGACATGGCTCAGGAGAATCCCATCCAGGAATTATTTACACTCGTGGAGACAGGAGTGATCAGTGAGAGAAGAGCCCTGAGGCTGGGTCTCCTACACAGAGCTGTGTCTACAACCTCCCCAAGGGGAACCTCAGCCTCTCTGATGCTGGGACTTATGTGGGGAGATATTGTTTGCAACGGGACAAAGCTGGACATTCAAGGTAAACCTCTTATGCTCTTTTGTTCAAATTACATAAACATTACATTTACATACACAGGTGGTTATTGTAAAAGACAATGTGTTCTCAATGACTTACATTCACATTTGAGTTATTTGCTAGAACTAGGCACTCTTATCCAGAGTGACTTACAGGAGCAATTAGGGTTAAGTGCCTTGCTCAAGGGCACATCAACAAATGTTTCAACTAGTCAGTTAGGGGATTTGAACCAGTAGACTTTCAGTTACTGTCCCAATGCTCTTAACCACTAGGCTACCATCTGCCCTACCTACTGTATTACCTGATCAAATAAAGGCAAAATAAAAATACATGCTATTACACTGTAATAACTCCTACTGTATAATAGAAAACATGACATTCTTTCAGGTGGTGATGTTCAAGTGGTGACTGAAGCGGATATGAGGATCCTTGTCCTCTTCTCCATCATAAGAACTGGATTTCTCCTCTGCTGTCTGACCATCTTCTTCATCATCTACCTCGTCAGGAAATAGATTCATTCAACGATTCAGTTTCTCAATCCTTCAGCTGTTACAAATACAGATGTGGTTTACTGTCTTTTCAAATGTTTCAGTGCTCGTCAGTTTTGGTAACATCATGTCAAGAAAAATGCCCATATGTCAGCCTTTTGACATGTTGAAGATGCAGATATTGCTGTTCAGACTTTCAATAAATAAATACATCTTTATTGAAAAAAAATATCACAATTTTATTAAATACTGACAAGATTACACATTAGATACAGTATGATATATTAACATATTCAAACAAGACTATTTCACAGCTGTTGCTTTATGGGAGAATACACAATGTGTGTCTCAGAAATATCTCCACCCTGCCCTCTCCCTCTTCCACACTCAGATCTGTTCATTGAGAAGCTCAGTGCAGCGTAATTCTCTGTGTCCACGTTCAGATAAAAAAAAAAAACGAGAGAGAGATACATACTTCATCCACAATTACTAAATTATGACTCACTTGGACTGTGGGTGAAGTGTCCTTGGTCATCCCTAATTGAAAACAAACCATTCATACACAATATAATATTAATTTATGCCATTAATATATGGCATTAATATATCATTTATTTTGTATAAGGTTTGACAGAGTACATAGTTGGAGAGGGAAATATCTGCTCACAGTGTGAACCATTCAGAGGTAAAGAGCCCACGTTTGGCTAAGATGTAGACGCTTGCATAGGAGTTAAAGTAAGGAAGATGAGCCAAGGCAGAGTACAATTTCAATCATCTTACAGTCAGGGTTGGGATCAATCCATTTCAATTGAAGTCAATTCAGGAAGTACACTGAAATTCCAATTCCAATTCTCTTCAATGCTTTTCATGAGGAAAATTTGGAATTGGCATTCTCTCAACCAGCTTCACCTGGAATGCTTTTCCAACAGTCTTGAAGGAGTTCCCACATATGCTGAGCACTTGTTGGCTGCTTTTCCTTCACTCTGCAGTCTAACTCATTCCAAACCATCTCAATTGGGTTGAGGTCAGGGGATTGTGGAGGCCAGGTCATCTGATGCAGCACTCCATCACTCTCCTTCTTGGTTAAATAGCCCTTACACAGCCTGGAGGTGTGGTGGGTCATTGTCCTGTTGAAAAACAAATGATAGTCCCACTAAGCCCAAACCAGACGGGATGGCGTATTGCTGCAGAATGGTGTTGTAGCCATGCTGGTTAAGTGTGCTTTGAATTCTAAATAAATCACAGACAGTGTCACCAGCAAAGCACCCCCACACCATAACACCCCCTCCTCCATGCTTCACGGTGGGAACTACACATGCA